GCTGTGGGGGGGTGGGATTTTTCTATAAAGTAGCAGGAAGGGGGAAACTCCACCTAGCCAGCTCCTTCTCAGCCTGAGGACTCTGGTCCTCTGTTAGGCCAGTTAACTCGGAGCTTCTTTTTTGTCTGACTTTGCCTAGGCAGAGTTGCTCCCCAGGAGCCAAGAGGCTTAGGGGTGCCGTGGTTTAATTATTTATTTGTTGGTTTTTCGAGACAGGGTTTCTCAGTGTAGCCCTGGCTGTCCTGGAACTTGCTCTGTAGACCAGGCTAGCCTCGAACTCAAAGATCTGCCCATCTCAGTATCCTGTGTGCTGGAACTAAAAGCATGCATCAGGGTTCTTTTAAGATTTTATTTGTGTGTGTGTGTGTGTGTGTGTGTGTGTGTGAGAGAGAGAAGAGAGAGAGAGAGAGAGAGAGAGAGAGAGAGAGAGAGTGATGTATGTAGACCCATAGGTGTAGATGAGAGAACAGCCATGTAGAGCTAGTCCTTTCCTACCATATGTGTTCTAGGGATCAAACTCAAATCATAAATGTTTCACCACACTAGTTGTTCACATGTTGGCAAATTGTTATGTGCTGCTTGCCCATACTTAAAAGCTGGCTCTCCACACACACACACACACATATTTGAGACCCAAGCATGTTTGTCTCAGTGTCCTCCAACACTTTTTGTCTAGGGTAGGGTGGATCCTCTAACTCTGTGACAGGAAGAGAAGAAAACTGCAGAACACCCCTAGAGTAAGAACCACTGCAGGAAGGTGGGGTGTTTCCAACAGAGGTTACTACTGCTTGTCCCACAATGCAACGATACCTGCAGTGGAGAAGAGAGGCTGAAGTTCAGCCATGGAGAGAAAGCTCAGCCTGGAACTCCAGCTGATGCCTCAGCTTCCCCGGTCAGCTATTGCATGTTGTGAACACCTGATTTGATATTAACTATTTGGTCTGAACAGACAGTTCCTGCTAGCCAGGGCTACATCATGATACCCTGTCTCAAGTAAAATACAAAATAAAAATACAGAGCTTAGAAAGGATTCGGCTCACAGGGTGCTGGAGAGGGTGGCTCAGTGGTTAAGAGCACTTGTTGCTCTTGCAGAGAGACCTGGGTTTGGTTCCAAATACCCACACTGTGGTTTACAACATCTGTAACTCCAGTTCCAAGGGATCCAGTGCCCTCTTCTTGACATACATGGGCAGCAGATATAAATGCAGGCAAAAACTTATGCACATGAAGTAACAAAATCATTTTTAAAAGTTAACCAAGCATAGTGGTGCATGCCTTTAATTCCAGCACTTTGGAGGCAGATACAGATAGAGTTCTCTGAGTTTGTGGCCAGCCTGGTATACATATTGAGTTCCAGGATAGCCAGGGCCACATAGAGATACCTTATCTCAAAAGGAAAATCAAAACAAAAAAACCACTTTGATTCTGCGGGGTAGTAATTGGCCAGAAGCTTGATGGTGGAGTTCCTAATACATGAGAAACTCTGGGTCCACACCCCAGAATTTCAGGTACACACACACACGCACGCACGCACGCACGCACGCACGCACGCACGCACGCACGCACGCACGCACGCACGCACGCACATTGGACATGTGGCTCCATCAGTATCTCTCTTATCATGCACGAAGCTCTAGATTATTGCATATTTGTAACCACAGCATTTCAGAGGAAGGCATTTGCTCCCAAGCCTAATGACCTTAGTTGATCCTCAGGACACATGTGGTAGGAGAAAACTGACTCCTGCAAGTTACCCTCTGCTCTCCATACACAAGCACTATGGTACATCCCTGCCTCTATAAATAAGTGCAACACAAATTATTTTTAAAAATCAAACTCTTACATTGAGGCATGAGGAGTAAGTGTAGTCATTGGGAAGTCAAAAAAGAGGAACTTGCAACAATCTTCCTGCCCCCTTCTCTTGAGTTCTGGGAATATAGGCATGAGCTACCACATAGGACTTATTTGGTTCAGGGAAAGGAACCCTGGGCTTTGTCCTTGTTAGGCGTGTGCTCCAACATTTTCTTCCTATTATTTTTCTTTATTTTGCTTTTTGAAACAGGGTTTCCCTAAATAACTTAAGCTGGCCTTGACTTCTTGATATAGTCCAGACTGGTCTCAAATTCATGAGCCTCCTACATCTGCCCTCTTAGTGTTCCTCCCACTCTTCCACGCCCCATCTGCCTGGGACCTTCTGAGCACTAATGTTCTCTGATCTAAGTAATGGTAAGACGCCTCCATTTAGGGCAGTGGCAGTTACCCAAACCAAGGGCTGCTGGAAAGGGAACAGGACAGCAAAAGTTCAGATTCCATCCCAGAGCAGATGAACTGCTGTCATTTTCTGCCAGGCCAGGACTTGGGCCCACCTTGGCCCCAAATTCACCCTCACCACCTCTCTGTGTTGCAGGAAGCCTTGGGAGCAAGTCCCCAAAAAGCCAAAGCGGAAGAAAAGTAAGTGGAGCCGCAGCGTGGGGAGGGGGGGACACATGCAGAGCATAGCCTAGAAGCGGCCAGTCTTCGTCCCTGTCCCTTTGCTGCACGGTTGGAAGGTGGAAGAGCCAGTTCCCCACCCTGCCTGCTAGAGGCAGAGTATATTATGTGCCAGATGGGTTGAATCCAAACAGCCCCCCCCCCAGCATGACCTCAGGGCCTTGTCAATCTTTAGGTTGTGAGTCTCCATCATGCCCAGCCAGGTGGTCCAAAAGGGAACCACCTGGTGGCAATCAGCTCTGACTCTTTTTTTTAATACAAGGGTCTCAGTGTAACTCGAGTTAACCTCAAACTCATTCTATAGCAGAGGATGGCCTTTATCCCGCAAATGCCACGCTGACAGCAGTGTGCCTCAAGTACAGTTCATGTGGTGCTAGTGATGGAACCCACAGCTTTGTTCACACTGAATAGGTGCTATACAGCTAAACTATATCCCCAGCTTCCAATTAAAACATTCTTTACATTTATTTATTCTTTTTATTTCTGTGTGTGCACATCACAGGTGTGAAGTCAGATCAACCTGTGGGAGTTAGTTCTTGCTTTCTACCACTTAGGTCCTGAGCATCTAACTCAGGTGGATCACACTTGGTAGCAAGCTACATACAACTGAACTATCTTGATGGCCCACTTTTTTTTTTCCTGGCCAGTTTTGCTATGTAACCCAGGCTAGCCTCAAAACTCAAAATCGCCCTGTCTCATGGGATTACAAGCATGCCTAATCATTCCCATTCTAGCTTTGGCACATGAGTTCTTGGAGGCAGAGGCAAGTGAACTGTTTTTACCATGCAAACCCAGAGGGTTAGGGAGTGCCAGGCTGGAAATAGAGCAGCTGCCAGTTATGTGGTTCTCGAGAGATGAAAACCCTGGACACCCTGGGCACACTCCCTCAGCCCAAATGCCTCATTTGGCCCTCTCTCCCTTCCAGCCCTCCAGCTAGAGAACAGCCCTACCTCCCTCATACTATGATAGGCCCAGCCTTCCTCTGTGCCCTTGTGGCTTCTTTGCTCCCTCCTGCCTCTGTGGCAGTCGCCAAAGGTGGAATCCTGGTTCTCCCCTAGCCACTCACTTAGAGCTCACTCACTTAGATTGTGACAAAGCCAAGATCTGAATGCTGTTTGGCTCTGCCATTCCCACCATCCAAAACCCTCACCATGTCTGGTGTCTTCTTGCCGTAGCCAGCCCCAAGGAAAAACTGACTGTGTTTCTGCCTTCGTGGGGCTGCCACTCTAGTGGGGAAGACAGAAAAGAGGCATCTCAGAAGATAACCACAGGCAGCCTCTTTGTGCTGTTACAAACAAACCAGAGCTGGCTAGAAAGACTCTGGAGAGCATGGCTCTGAGAAGGAGGGTACATGGGGGAGACCTCTGAATGAAGGCACTGAGCAAGGCTGTTATGTGGAGGACTGGGGTAGCCTGTGCAAAGGCCTGGGGAGGCAGGACCATACCTACCTCATTTGAAGGACAGCTAGGAGGCCATGGGGCTGAAGGGAGTGAAGAGAAGAGGATGGAAGGGAGGGCATGGGACCTGACAATAGAATATGGCCTTGCTAGTCACCTTGGCACTTGTTTCTCTCTATCCCCTTTGGAGGTCATAGCCAGTGGATTTTGATCTAAGAGGGGACATGTCCTGATTTCCTGGCACCCCCTTGTGGCAGTAGATGGCACTGTGATGGCACCAGCCATCCCAGGACTATGTGTGTCTAGCCCAGAGGTATTAATGAAGATTTTTTATTAAGAAGCAGACAGATATGGTGGCACACATCTTTAATCTAAAAAGAAAAAGCAAAAAGCTGTGCAGTGGTGTACATCTTTAATCCCAGGGCTGGGGAGGCAGAAGCAGGCAGATCTCTCTGAGTTCAAAGCTATCTTGAGCTACATAATGAGGTCCTATTTTTTTTTTTTTTTTTTTAAGGAAAAGGAAAAGAAACCACTAACATCTGTTTTGCCTCTAGCAAGTACCAGTTTCCATTGTCTGTCTGATTTCACTCACCAAGGACAGTACCTGGCAATCTTCGGGTCCTAGTTGTCTCTAGATTGTGTCACCTTTCCAAGCCTCAGTTTCCTCTTCTGATAAGTGGGAGTGGGATTCAAGAGGCTGCTTCAGACTGTGGGAACTGTTGGCCCCAGGGGGAGTTGAGCACTGTCCTCATGTCCACCTGGACCGTGTGTCCCCAGGGCGGAGGCGCAACGTGAACTCCCTGAAGAACGTGGTGATCTGGTATGAGGACCATAAACACCGGTGCCCATATGAGCCACACCTGGCTGAGCTTGACCCTACCTTCGGCCTGTACACAACAGCTGTGTGGCAGTGTGAAGCTGGCCACCGCTACTTCCAGGACCTGCACTCTCCGCTCAAACCCCTCAGTGACTCAGAGCCTGACAGCGACAAAGGTGGGTCTGCAGGGAAGGGTATGGGGACTAGCAGGCATGGGGCTCTGCTCTGCACTCTTTCCAGGCGGACCAGTCTGGACTGCCCTCAGCCTGGACCCACCAGGACTGGCCTGGCCAAGCCCTTTGCAGAGACCCTGCCAAGCTGAGCAGAATGCTGTCCCCTATGTACTAACAACCTTTTAATTTCCTCCAGTTTGCTCAGCTCTCTTTCACTGTCTCACTGTCCGGCTCACTCCCCTTTGCTCTCAGCAACTGAGTTACTGGTTTTGGTTTTGGTTTAAATATTTTATGCATTTTTTCATTTGTTTTTTGGCTTACCTGGGACTTGCTATTTTAGGACATGCTGGTTTTGAACTTACACTAATCTGCCTGCCTCTGACTCCTGAGTGCTGAAATTAATGTGTGCACCATCACACTCAGTCTTGTTCTTTTTTTTTTTTTTTTTTTGGTTTTTTGAGACAGGGTTTCTCTGTGTCTTTGAAGCCCATCCTGGCACTCACTCTGGAGACCAGGCTGGCCTCGAACTCATAGAGATCCACCTGCCTCTGCCTCCCAGTGCTGGGATTAAAAGTGTGTGCCACCACTGGCAAATTTTTTCCACTTTTTATATGTATTGTTTTGCTTGCATATGTCTGTGCATTACAGTGCCTTTGGAGGCCAAAAGTGGTGTTGTATTCTCTGGGACTGGAGTTACAGGTGGTTGGGAGCTGCCATGTGAGTGCTGGGAATTGAACCCTGGTCGTCTAGAAGAGCAGTCAGTGCTCTTCACCTCTGAGCCATCTCTCCAGCCAGCCCCTTTCGGCTCTCTTTAGTTTTGAGCTAAGTTCTCATTAAGTTACCCAAGCTGGCTTTGAACTTTCTATAGCTCAAGTAAACCTTGAATTTGTACTTGAAATCCTCCTGCTTCAGCATCCCAAGTAGCTAGGGTTACAGGCCTAGGCCACATTCAAGCTTCTTTCCTGTCTTTGATCTTCTATTTCCCACTGTCATCCCTGCCGTGGGTCTGTCACATTTTCTATCCTCTCCCCTTCTCTCCTATCCCATACAAGTCACACTGGGCTAGCTGCCCACTAAGGCTGAGAGGGACTCTCAGGAAGACCCAAGTACATCCTGGTGTAGGCAGTGAGGATGCCACATGCTGCCTCAGGACTTGGCAAAACTGACAAGGCCTATAGGGCCAGTTGCCAAGTGCTGTGGCAGGCCTGAGGGTGGGGTCAGTCATCAGGGCTAAGTCCATGCTGGCAGGCATCACCAAGCAGGTGGCATCCCAGCTGGCTGAGGGGAAGCTGAGATGAGAAGTATTCCTGGTGGGCCCCATACCCACGGCTACCCTGCTGGGCCTTGGCTAGTCTCCAGAGGGCAAGTGTCTTAGGGTTTCTGTTGCTGTGAAGAGGCACCGTGACCACAGCAATTCTTATAAAGGAAAACATTTAACTGGGGTGGTTTACAGTTTGGAGATTTAGTCCATTATCATGGTAGGACATGGTGGCATCAGGCAGACATGATACTGGCGAAGAAACTAAGAGTTCTACATCTTGAAGGCAACAGTAAGTGAACTGAGACACTGGACATGGCTTAAGCATATATGAGACCTCAAAGTCCACCCCCACAGTGACACACTTCCTCCAACAAGGCCACACCTACTTCAGCAAAGCCACACCTCCTCCTAATGCTACTTCCTGTGAGCTTATGGAAGACAATTACATTCAAACTGCCAGAGCAGGTATCCTGTGCTTTTTGATTAGCACCCTGTTCTCCTCAGCTTGTCACTTCTCCCTACCCTGGGTCATCTGACTCCTCCCCATAACCCTGTCATTTGTCTTGCTGAAGAGTCCTTGAGGAAGCCCAGGAGGATTGGGACTAGTCTGTCTGGTACCTTCTTAGTCTGTGATGGTATCATCCCAGGCCAACACTGACCTCCATAATTGGGCTTCTGGGAATGAGCACTGTGATTCATTAGCCATGTCTGCCCAGGCAGCAGCAAGGAAGTGGCTTTGCTCCTATCCTGACCTCTTCCCCAAGCGCCTCTCCCTACCTTGGCCCATGCCTGGGATGGTTTTGCCATCTCTCAAGAGTCAGTCAGAGAACCTTCTGCTGGAGCTGTGAAGTCCAGACACACACTGACACTCGTTTTCATGTTTGGTGCTTGAGCTGGAACCTAGAGCCTTACAGGTGATAGGCAAACATTCCACCTTTGAGCCTTTTGGGAGCCAGGGATGGCGCACCAGTTGCCCATACTGACCTCGAATTCATTTTATAATGCCAGTAGGCCTTAAACTAGCAATCTTTCCACTTCAGTCTCCTAAGTAGCTGGGGTCATGGACTGGTGCCCCAGGCCTGGTGTGATTACATATCCTTCAGGGAGTTGCTAGGGGCTGAGATGTTACAGGTGACAGGAAGGCCTGTTCCTCTTCTCAGCCACCCTGTGGCTCCCGAATCAGGATGGGTGTCTTCACGCCTGTGTGAGACAGCTTTCTGTCTCTATAATGAATGCCCAGAACAACCCACTTAGAAAAAGAAAAGGCTTGTCTAGGAGGTTCTGGCACTGTGGAGATGGTTAGGGATAGTGACAGTGGGAATGCCTGCAGAAAAGAGCCACTCATCACAGCCTCTGCCAGAGAAAGCAAGAGCAGGCTGAGCTCACACAGTTCCCTTTAGGGCCCCCCTGTGACCTGAGTACTCAGTCAGGCTGCCTGCTTTTAAAGGCTTTGCCACCTTCTAATGGCGCCATTGTAGGAGCCGTGTCTTTAAAACAAGAATCCGTGGGGAACACTTAGCCAAGCCATAGCCATACCCCAAGGGCCACTAAGAAGCTAAAAACAAAACAGCAGAACTTCATCTATCCTTTAGTCTGTTTTCTTAGTAAATAGCCCCAGTGCCAGTTGGGCTGGCACCAGAGTGATTCGAGGGCCCAGAGTGGAGCCGTGAAGGCAGATGATGTACACAGCTACAAGCAGGTACTAATTCAGGCTCTGGAGCCATAGAACTAATGGTCCCAGTTGGCACATCCCAGTTGCACTATGTACATAATCAAAATTCCAGTCACTCATGGTTCCCATCCCTTCAGTCTTTGTGTGTGGCGTATAGTAGCAAATATCTGACTGAGATATCAGGCTTTGTCTTAATGGTGGCCTTCTAGGAGTGGGTGGGGTGCTCTTCCCAGGGGCCTCCTTTGTGTGTGCACGTGTATGGACAGGTGCTCAAGGAGGCTAGAGGCCTCTGATCCCCTGGAGCTAGAGCTACAGGTGGTAAGCTTCCTGACATGGGTGTTGGGACTGAACAACTGCAATAGCAGTATATGCTTTTAACTGCTGAGCCATCTCTCTGGCCCCTTTGTGGTATTTCTGTTCTAGAGCAGAAGCAGACATTAAACAAAATAGGCAAGTATATCATTAAATATTCTGGAAGGGGGGTGTTTGAGACAGACAATCAGGGTGCCTCCCTGGGCAAGCTGACACACTCCTAACCCACTTGCTGTCTTGTACATGAGGGCCCGGATTCTTTTTGTCCTGAGCCTCTAGCCTCCTGGGCCTGCCTAGATGGATGTTAGGGTCAGGGAGGTAGAAGGTTAGCCCAAGAGAAACCATATCTGCTGCTCTGCTGGCTGGAACCAGAGCTGGGACATATTTATCTGTTGCAGGGCACAGGATAGGAGATACAGACCAGCAGGGATATGTGCACGGGAGAAAGAGCTGGCCTGTCTCTTTTGCAGGAAGTGGTGAACAGGTTCCCAGGAGCTGTGGGGGACCAGGTGGCCTCTGTTACAGGGATGCTAGTCCATAACCAGCATCTGTAGGGATGAGGAGAGACAATTGACCTATAGGTGGATGGATTTGGATGCAGTCCCAACAGGTTTTGCTGACAGATTGGAAGTGGGTGTGAGAAAAGGTCAAGGATAGCCCCAGGACATTGGCTTGAGCCACAGGAAGGACACAACTGCCACCCTGTGAGCAGCACAGGCTCTGCTGGAAAAATAAATAAATCTAGAGGGGTGGACTCCAGTGCCACTGAATGGGTTCCGAGATATGGGGGCAGCAGAAGGTGCGGTACCAAGAACTTGGAGCTCGGTAGGGAGGCCCAGCTCCCCATGAATGCATAGAGTCACCAGGCCACTGGTGTACCATGGTGTCATAAAAATAGATACAGCTCAGGGGCTAGGGAGTTGGTAAAGTGCTTGCTATGCAAGCATGAGAACATGAGTTCAATTCCCAGAACATACATCAAAAAGTCAGGTGTTGCCTGGCGGTGATAGCGCACGCCTTTAATCCCAGCACTTGGGAGGCAGAGACAGGCAGATCTCTGTGAGTTTGAGACCAGCTTGGTCTACAAGAGCTAGTTCCAGGACAGGCTCCAAAGCCCAGAGAAATCCTGTCTTGTGGAAGGAAAAAAAAATGTATGTGTCATGGCATAGTCTGTAATCCCATTGGTAGGGAGGTCTGACAGGATCTCCCCTGGGCTCACTGACCAACTAGTTTAGCCAAAATGGTGAATTCCAAATTGAAGGAGAGACTCAGTCTCCAAAAATAAAGTGGAACCAGACATGATGGCACACTTCTTTAATTCCAGCACTTGAGAGTGAAAGGCAGGTGGATCTCTGTGAGTTCAAGGCTAGCCTGGTCTACATAGTAAGTTCTGTGCCAGCCAGGGCTACATACTGAGACTCTTGATTCAAAAAATAAAGTACAAATAAATGAATAAGGTAGGTAGGGAGTGATTGAGGAAGGCACCCCAAATTGGCTTCTGATCTCCACATGTATCTGTACACATGTGCACACATATGCAGGCACATAAACACATATATGCACACACATGCAAAATAGAACCTCTGTGCCCGCAGGTTCCATACTCAATGCTTCTGTCTGCATACAGTCAGCCAACTGAACACAGGGTCAAGGTTAGCATGTAATAGGTCATTCCCCATACAATATAGTATGGGCCTCTTTTCTTTTTGGTTCCTTTTCCTTTCTGGTTTCTTTCTTTTTTTTTTAAGATTTTATTTATTTATTTATTATGTATATAACATTCTGCTTCCATGTATATCTGCACACCAGAAGAGGGCATCAGATCTCATAATGGATTGTTATGAGCCAACGTGTGGTTGCTGGGAATTGAACTCAGGACCTCTGGAAGAGCAGTCAGCGCTCTTAACCTCTGAGCCATCTCTCCAGCCCTCCTTTCTGGTTTCTTGAAATGTTTAATCCTTATTTTCCTTTGTTTATTTACTTCTGAAACAATACAGTATAGAAAGAGTAATTTGTATTATGTCAGGGGTTACAAATGATTTAAGGCAAATGGAAAGGTGTGTATAGATTCTATGAAGGTTTACGTTTTATTTGTTTAATTTTTTATTACATATATTTGTTGGGAGGACCATGTGTGGCATGGCACCAACATGGATGTCAGTGAGTATGAGAGGACAAGTTAATGGGGGTTGGTGCTCACCCTTCCACCATGGGGTCCTGGGGATCAAACTCAGATCCTCAGTCCTGGTGGCAAGTGATTTTACCCACTAAGCAATCTTGTTGGCCCCTGTGTATTTTCTTGAGACAGGTTCTCATGTATCCTACTGGCCTTGAACTCACTATATAACCAAGGATGACCTTGAAATTCTGATAGTCTATCCTCATCATGACCCAACTGCTGGAATTACAGCACCATACCCTGTTTATGCAACACTGGGATGGAACCCAGAACTGTGTGTGTGCTAGGCAAGCACTCTACCACCTGAGCTACATCTACAGCAAATACTATATTAAGAAATTCTGTAAGGTAGGCATAGTGATACACATTTTTAATCGCCACACTTGGGAGGCAGCTAGAGGAGGGTCTCTGCAGGATCGAGGCAGCCTGATCTGTAGAGTGACTTTCAGAACAGCCAGGGCTACTTCAGAAAAACCCTTTCTAAACACAACAGTTTGAGTGTGAGTGTTTGCCTGCATATGTGTGTGCCCCACATGGGTGTCCAGTACCTGTAAAGGCCAGAAGAAGTTCTCAGATCTGCCATGTGGGTACTGGGTGCTGCACTCAGGTTCTCTGCAAGAGCAGCAAGTATCCTTAGCCACTGAGCATCTCTGCAGCCTGCACATACTGCATTCCATAGATGGGATTTGAGCTTCAGAGAATTTCAATGTCATCTTGGATTTCTAAAACTAATCCCCTTCTAAAATCCTTAGAATTTCCCGAATGGAAGAGGTTTGTTGTTGTTGTTTTTGGTAAACTAGTGAAACAGTGAGTAAGTAGTTTCTTGATTATTTTTATTTTATCAGTGTCTATGTGTGTATGCATCAGATACATGTGTATGCACCAGAAGAGGGCATCAGATCTAGGGCTGTTGAGAGCTCCCTGGTAATGGAACTTGGGTCCTCTGGAAGATCAGCACATGCTCTTTAACCTTAAGCTGAGCCATTTCTGCAGCCCTGATAGCAGTGTTTTTTGTGATTCATATGGAGCCACTTTAACAAGGAGCTCTTTGGAGTACTCCTGAATCTGTGCTAGCTATGTGATTCTGGGTCCCACACGTGCATAGCTGTTGGATGGGACTAGCCACCTAAAAGACCAAGCACAGGACCAGAGAAGATGTAAGCCTGACATCACCCATCAGGGAGGGGCTGAAACATTTGGTCACAAGAGCTGTTCTGAGGCTGGGGAGATGGCTCAATGAATAAATGCTTGCTATACAAGTGTGAGGACATGAGTCTGGGTCCCCAGCACCCACTGGTGCCAGTTAAGTAGCCAGTGAGATAGCTTAGCAGGTAAAGGGGCTTGTTGCCAAGCTGGATGACCTGAGTTCTGTCCTCAGGACCCAAATGGTGAAGGGAAAGAGCCATCTCCTGCAAGTAATACTCTGGCCTCCATACATGGACACCATGAGGCTCCTGCCTTCAAATAAGTAAATATGAGAAATACAAAATAACAGGGAGAGATAGTGAGGAAGACAGGAGATGTCCACTTCTGGCCTCCACACACAAAACTCTTGAGCGGTAAGCAGACAGCTTTTGATGGTGCTGAGATGGGACACTCTCAGAGAAGTGCAGAAGCTGGAGTCTGTCACCAGGGAGTGGGTACTATGACTCCAGTGTGGCTTTCTTCTGACCATTGATAAATTATAACCTCATAATAAAGCTGTGATCATAAGCAGACCAGAGAGAGAACTTTCTAGAGTTCCATGAGTCATCCCAGCAAGTCATGGCACCTGAGTGTGGCACCATGGGAATTCCTGACTGAGACCTAGACAGACAGACAGACACACAAGGTGGTCCAGGACTTCCCACGGGTATCAGAAGTGGAGAGAGTCTTGTGACAGAGCCCTTGACTTAATGGATTAGAAGCTTCAGGTAGATTGATTCTGAGTCCTACAGAATTAATTAAAATGATAGCGTTTGATAGGAATCTAACTAGTGGGAGAATCAGGAACTGCTGATCCTGGGAGTGATGACAGCTCACACCTTTAATCCCAGCACCCAAGAGGCAGAGGCAGGTGGATTTCTGTGAATTTGAGGCCAGCCTGGCCTACATATGTATCCTCAGCAAGGGTTACATAGTGAGACCTTATCAAAACAACAATAAAACAAGCTAGAGAGGCCAGGGAAGAGTACTATGAGAGCCTGGAAAAGAGACTAGTGATTGAGTACAGCCAGCCAAGTCAGGTATACAGGGACCTAGAAGGAACCACTGGCTTTGGACCTGAAAGTCACAGTTCCTAGTTCCTGATGACACATAGATTCCAGCTGCTGCTCCTGCCACCACCACTAACTAATGGCACCGTCCCCAGATGTGTGTGTTTTCACAAGTGTGCAGGTGGAGGCCAGTGGATAACCTTGGGTGTCACCCTCAAAAATGTCATCTGTCTCCTTGGGACAGGCTTTCTCACCAGCCCAGAGCTCAGCAATTAGACTAGAGTGTCTGATCAGTAAACTCCAGGGTCCTTGTATCTCTGCCTCACCAGAGCCAGGGTGTGAGGGGCTTACAAATGTTTACCACTAAGCCGAACCTGACATTTTAAAATTGTTTTCCTTGTTATTAGTGTGAGTGTGTATGTAGCATGTGTGTGTGATGCCGGTGGCTGGGGGGTGGGGGCATGCAGACACAGAGCACATGTGGAGGTCAGAGGACAACTTTGTGGAGTTGACTGTCTCTTTCCACCTCTGTAGTGTATTAGTTACTATTCTGTTGCTGCGACAACACCGTGACCAAAAGAAAGAATTCATTCTGGCTTATGGTTCCAGAGGGGTAAGAGTTCATCTGGGGGGCAGGTGTGGCAGCTGAGCAGGAAGCTAAGCTTATATACCTGACTACAAACACAAGCAGAGAGCAAATTGAAAACAAACAAGGCTACGGTACCTCAAATCCTGCCTGCTCCCCAGTCATGTGCTTCCCTTGGCAACTTCCAGTGCTGCCACCTGGGGACCAAGTGTTCAGATGGGGACATTTGTCATTCACATCGCCACACATGGGCTCCAGGAGGCAAACTCAGGTAGCCAGGCTTGCAGGGCAAGTGCCTTTAACCACCAAACCATCTCACCAGTCCACACACAGAAATTTAAAGGGTTATTTTTATTTTATGTGGATGAATGGTTTAGTGTGTGTAAATACACTACATGTATACAGTACAAAAGAGGATGTCACATACCCTTCAACCGGTGTTACTGTTAGTATTTAGACATCTGTACTGGCCCACCTTGGGGTTCTGACAGGACACGCCCTCAGCTGCATTCATTAAGAGCACCACCTGTGCTTATTCACTATGTTCCCTTTTAAAAGGGCCCTGCCCACCTCCTATCCCCCTCTGTCTTTCTCTCCATCTATCCCCCCTCTTTGTCTCCCCCACTCTCTCTCTCTCTCTTGGCCTCTCATTCCTCTCTCCACTTCTCCTGTCCCCAGAGGCCAGTCTCCCCTTTCCCCTTTTTACGATCCTTTTCCCTTGATAAAAAACCCCTCCACTTGAACTCTGTCGAATGATGTCTTTCTTTCTTGTGCCACATTTTAAGATTACAACAGTTACAGATTGGATTGAGCCACCACATGGATGCTGGGAACTGAGCCCTGGTCCTCTCGGAGAGAACCAAGTTCTCTTAAGCACTGAGCCATCTTTCTAGCTGCCGTACATGGTATTTAACATGGATTCTGCAAAATGGAACTCAGGTCTTGTACTTGTAAAACAAACACTTCAGTCTGAGCCATCTCCCCGGCTAATCGCTGTCCCCTTCCTCTCTCTGCAGTGGGCAATGGCCTGGCAGCTGGCAGCTCTGACTCATCCAGCTCCAGCTCCAGCTCTGACTCGGAGGAGCCTCCTGAGGCCCAACCAGCCAAAGCCCCAGCTGCTGCTGCAGTCACCCCCGCCAGCCCCGCATGCAGCAGCGGGCTTATCACTCAGGAAGGAGTTCACATTCCCTTTGATGTCCACCATGTGGAGAGCCTGGCTGAGCAGGGCACCCCTCTGTGCCAAAACCCTGCAGGCGGTGGGCCGGAGGCTCTGGAGACGGTGGTTTGTGTGCCAGTACCCATGCAAATGGGCACTGGTCCCGGCACCCTCTTTGAGAACATGCCCCAGGAGGCACTGGGTGAAGTGGTGGCCAGCTGCCCAGTGTCAGGCATGGTGCCTGGCTCCCAGGTGATCATCATTGCTGGTCCTGGCTATGACACCCTCACAGCCGAGGGCATCCACCTCAATGTGGCTGCTGGCAGTGGTACTCCCAGCAGTGGCCTGGGTGAGGAGGTACCCTGTGCCATGATGGAAGGTGTGGCAGCCTATACACAGACGGAGCCTGAGGGCACCCAGCACAGCACCATGGACACCACCTCCATAGTCAGCATTGAGACCAAGAAAGGTCTGGGAGTGCCACTGTGGCCTCTGGCAGGGTTGGGAGGGATGGCAGAGGGGAAGGAGTGGCCCTCAAAGTGAGCTCCTTGACAGCCTTATCCCCACAGACGCCGCCCCATGTCACCCTGTAGAGAAGGAGGACCTGTATATGCTCAAGGAGGAGAAAGAGGATTCGGTGGCCCCAGAGCTGGCAGAGCTGGCAGCCACCATGCCAGAGACTACAGAGGCAGAAGCAGACGTGGATGGAGAGGAATTGGACGGCAGTGACATGTCAGCTATCATCTACGAGATTCCCAAGGAGCCTGAGAAGTGGGTGCTAGGATGGATGGGTAGGAGCAAGGGTGAGGAAGAGCTGTGGGCTTATAGCCCACTGAGGGCTGGCTTCCTAATGCTATAGGCTCTTTTCCCCTCCAGGAGACGGCGGAGCAAGCGGTCACGGGTGATGGATGCTGATGGCCTGCTGGAGATGTTCCACTGTCCCTATGAGGGCTGCAGCCAGGTGTATGTGGCTCTGAGCAGCTTCCAGGTAAGGCCGTCTGGGCCATGCAGCTGCATGGAGGGCTCTATGGGTGTCAGTGGTACAGGGCCTGCCTCCATGAGCCCATTTCAACCCAGCTGGCCTTGCTGAACATCAGGCTTCCTCAGCCCTCTCTCTGCAGACACCAGACACAGTCACAGTCTGACCAGCACCCCCAGACCACCCTCTTGGTCTTCCTCAGGAAGACCACCCAAGTCCCAGGGGAGCCATGCATGGGAGCCCCAGATCCTTACACAACTAGAACTCTTCTTGTGGTTTGCCTTTTGTGGTGTGGATGATATAATCCAGGAGCAGACAAGGGTCTCCTCATCTCTCCACACAGAATGCAGCACCAGTAGACAGGTGAATTTGCTGAGCATGTAGTAAGCACCCAGGCTGTTCTCATGGGTTAAATGAGATAACAAGAAACAAAAATGAATCAAGTACCTCAGGGCAGTGCAGCACCTGTCAGGCATCACCAAACATTGTGTCTGAAGCCTCAGTTTCCTCATGTGTGTATTGGGCTAGCAGCAGGAGCATACCAAGGTTAACTGGAGCCCAGAGCTGGGGTTGGTAAAGCTGTTCTTTGACCCCAGTGCTCCTATCCAAGCTGGACACTGGAATGCTTCTTCCACTTTCCAGTCTAGGCTGACTATGGCTAATGAATGCCCTGGCTACCTACTTGTCTTCCCACTTCATGAATGCTCAGATGGGCCCATGGTACCCACTCCTGCCCCTCTCACCCCTAGAACCACGTCAACCTGGTGCACCGAAAAGGGAAGACCAAAGTGTGCCCTCACCCTGGCTGTGGCAAGAAGTTTTATTTATCCAACCACCTGCGGCGCCACATGATCATCCACTCAGGTCAGGCCCCGCCAGCTGGCACCCGCAGAGCAGCTGTAGTGCACACATGTAAATCCCATGCTCAGGAGGCTTGGGCTGCACCCTGAAACCCCACATCCTTACCTGGACCTGGTCCTGGTTTTCATATGCAGTTGCCCCAAGTCCCAACTTGGGTCACATGTTGTGTGAGGAACCTCGGCACTTTTCTTACCTGCTGTGACTCCAGGAGACACAGTTCTCAGGGGTGTGGGGTGGGGGAACTAGCTCCTTGAAGCCACCTCTACTGGGCAGTTTCCTGAGGCTGCTGCCACCCCCAGGCATCCGAGAGTTCACTTGTGAGACCTGTGGCAAGTCCTTCAAGAGGAAGAATCATCTGGAGGTGCACCGGCGCACACACACAGGAGAGACACCCCTGCAGTGAGTGTCAGGGTGCTCGGAAGGAAGGGGGCCTGAGTGGATTGCAGGGGAGTCTTAGCCCTCGGTGACCTGCCCTGGGCTGTCCTCCTGCCACACAGGTGTGAGATTTGCGGGTACCAGTGCCGGCAGCGCGCATCGCTTAACTGGCACATGAAGAAGCACACAGCAGAGGTGCAGTACAACTTTACGTGCGAGCGCTGTGGAAAGCGCTTTGAGAAGCTGGACAGCGTCAAGTTCCACACGCTCAAAAGCCACCCGGACCACAAGCCCACCTGACCCACCCGCGCCCACGGACCTCAGCCTCTATTTATTTGTACTCTTGGGCATCGTGTCCAAGATAGCCCCTGGGGCTGCCCCAACCGCAGGCCGGAAGGAGGTGTTCCCCGCTCCCTCTGGGCAGGTGCCCCACCCTGCCTCATCACCCTGCCCCACCCATGGAGCTGGCGCCTGGGACTGCACTGCTGAACTGTGTCAAGAGCACAGAATGAGATTAAAGTGAAAAAGGAAATTCCCTTCCCCTAGGCCTGAATAATTGTGGGGGCTTGGCACCCCTTTGTAGCCAATTAACTTGCTTCCATCCTGACCAAGGCTGGGTTGGGGGTGGTTGCCTTTGGATAGCACACAGGGACCTTTTCCCGTTAGCCTCTGCTCCCACAGGGTGGATGGAGGAGACCAGAATCCTGATGCCCACCCCTCTCATGTCTCAGAATATTGATTCCTGGCCCAGAGGGCTGTGGGAGGAGCTAAATGTGTGGGGCACACATTTGGGAACACCCAAATGAGACATCTATCTACACTGGAGACAGGCACTGGGCAGAGAATGGAGTGATGGGTTGGGTTGCGGGGGCGGGGGCTTCTCTGTGCCAGAGTGACAAAGAGAGTGGATCCCTGTATAGGAGGATGGCTAGGTTTGTTCGTGGAACAAGACCTGGCCCCATTGCGTGCAGGGAGATTCGTAGGGAAAGAGGCACCACCACCAGGTGGTGCGCGTGCTATATGGACCCGGGTGG